ATCAAATGCATCCAGTATGTGAGATCCTATTATCCAGCAAAGCTTAAATAGATCAGTGTAGCTGGACAAGTGCCACATCTCCAGTTAGGCAGGAGGATGCAGATGTGTCATTTGGAATTGCGGAAGTTGTGTTGGAATTCCGTGCCCTGAATTGGAGGAAACTAATTCCTCCTGCCTTTTCCATCTGCAGAGTGAGAGGCATTGTTATGTGCTGAAAATCCTTTATGAGGTAAGAGTCTAACAAACATACACAGCCCTGGACAGAGTCAGCATGATAGACTTAGAGATCAAATACAGCTTATGCACAGAAAATGCTTCTCATTTTAAAAACAACCACCTGAATATGGCAACCATTTCCTCTAGAGGTTGAAGATATTTTTAAAAGGGTTACAGGAAATAAAACCACCAAGGCTCAATGTGGGACCTATCACCACTATATCAATATTTGTCTGTGACTGAACTTTTCTTACAGTGCAAAATCTGCTAAAGTTTTCATTCCAGAGAAGCTGCCCTGGGTGTTTAAATAGCAGTGGCAAAAAAAAAAAAAAAAAGGCAAGCAAGCCATGTTTAGTGTTTGCTACTTTGCAGTTTGTTTTTGCTGACCATTCTCAAGTTGTTTCTCCCTTTGGTCCTCCAAACCCATACATAGCAGAGTAACCATTATCTTCCTAAGTCATTCTCATAGGCAAATAGGGCAGACCTCCCCATGCTGGATGCAGAGATGTCACTCAGTTTTGTGATTTGCCTTATTTGCATTTGTGATAGAGATGTCTTGCTCTGCATGGTTTTCAGCACCACATCTCTCCTCCCTGTGGTTCTCAGAATCACTGAAAGATATAAAAATGACAGGAAATTTCTTTAAATTTTAAAACAAATTTTTTCTCCATTTAAAAAAAATTTTTTTATTATTGTTCAGTTGTCCCCATTTTCTCCCATTTCTGTCCCCTGCCCACCCTTCCCCCATTAAATCCTCCCTCCTATTGTCCTTGTCCATAGGTCCTTTATACGTGTTCCTTGACTTGCCCCTTCCTTCCCCTTCTTTCCCCCATTATCCACTTCTTCCCTCCCCTCTGATCACTGTCTGTTTCTTCTTTATTTCCATGTCTCTGGTTTTATTTTGCTCATTCATTTATTTTGATTAGGTTCCACTTATAGGTGAGATCATATGGTATTTGTCTTTCACCATCTGGCTTATTTCACTTAGTGTAGTACTCTCTGGTTGCATCCATGCTGTCATGAAGGGTAGGAGCTCCTTCTTTCTTTCTGCTACATAGCATTCCATTGTGTAAATGTACCACAGTTTTTTGATACACTCATTTACTGATGGACACTTAGGCTGTTTCCAGCGCTTGACTACTGTAAATAACCCTGCTATGAACATTGGGGTGCATAGGTCTTTTGAATTGGTGTTTCAGGATTCTTAGGGTATAATCCCAGCAGTGGAATTGCTGGGTCAAAAGGAAGTTCCATTTTTAGTTTTCCTGAGGAAATCCCATACTGTTTTCCGGAGTGGCTGCATGAGTCTGCATTCCCACCAGCAGTACCCTAGGGTTCCCTTTTCTCCACATCCTTGCAAGCACTTGCTTTTTGTTGATTTATTTATGATGGCCATTCTGACTTGTATGAAGTGGCATCTCATTGTGATTTTAATTTGCATCTCTCTGATGGCTAGAGATGCTGACTATCCTTTCATAGGTCTATGGGCCCTCTGTATGTCCATGGAGAAGCGTCTGTTCGGGTCCTTTGCCCATTGTTTCATTGGATTATTTGTCTTCCTACTGTGGAGTCGTGTGAGTTCTTTATATATTTTGGAGATCAAACTCTTGTCTGAAGTATCACTGGCAAATATATTCTCCCATATAATTGGTTCCCTTTTCATTTTTATGATGTTTTCTTTAGCCTTGCAGAAGCTTTTTAATTTGATGTAGTCCCACTTGTTTATTCTTTCCTTTATATCCCTTGCTCTAGGGGACATAACGGTGAAAATATTGTGGCATGGAATATCTGATATTTTCCTGCCTATGTTCTCCTCTAGGACTTTTATGGTGTTGCAACTTATATTTAAGTCTTTTATCCATCTTGAGTTTATTTCTGTGTATGGTGTAAGTCGGTTGTTGAGTTTCATTTTTTTGCATGTCCAGATCTCCCAACACCGTTTTGTTGAAGAGGCTATTTTTGCTCCATTTTATGCTCCTGCCCCCTTTGCCAAATATTAATTGACCATAGAGACATGGGCTTATTTCTGGGCTCTCTATTCTGTTCCATTGATCTATGTGTCTGTTTTTATGCCAGTACTAGACTGTTTTGATTACAGTGGCCCTGTAATAGAGTTTGATATTAGGTATTGTGATCTCCCCTACTTTGTTCTTCTTTCTCAAAATTGCTGAGGCTATTCGGGGTCTTTTATGGTTCCTTATACATTTTTTAATTGTTTGTTCTATAGTGAAATATGTCATTAGTATTTTAACAGAGATTACATTGAATCTACAAATTGCTTTGGGTAGTAAGGACATTTTGATAATGTCAGTTCTTCTAAGCCATGAACATGGTATATGTTTCCATTTATTTGTGTCTTCCTTAATCTATTTCTTCGGTGCTCTGTAGTTTTCTGAGTACAGGTTTTTTACCTCCTTGGTTAGATTTATTCCTAGGTACTTTATAAAGTGACAGGAAATTTCTTACCTAGATTTTTAACCAATGACACATACGTGTGTGTGTGTGTGTGTGTGTGTGTATGCATGCAAATACAAGCCTGAGATAGCAGCCCCCTTCCAAAGACCCTGTGCCTTGTTCCTCTCTATATTTCATGACCTGGACATTGTCTGGAATGTTGTCACCTCTCCATAAGTCTTTGCTGACTCATTAATGTTAAATAACTCTACCTGGAAGACTCTTAATCACACACACACACACACACACACACGTTTTTGTTTGTTTTGGTGTAGTCTTTTTTCAATTTTCCCCACTATGTAGCTTTTGCTCTTAATGCCTATCCTTAAAATCTGTAGACTTTTAGACTAAAAGAAAGATCTATTGGTTTTATATCCTGTAGTTTGTAAGAAACGACTAAAAAAAACAATTTTTTAAAATCCTTACCTGAGGATATGTTTATTGATTTTAGAGAGAGAGAAAAGGAACATCGATGTGAGAGAGAAACATTAATGGGCTGCCTCCTGTTGCACCCTGACTAGGGATTGAACATACAACCTTTTGGTGTATTGGACAATGCTCCAACTAACTGATCCACCCAGACAGGACTAAAAGAACAATTTTTTGACATACAGTTTTAATTTTAAAAATTAAGAAATTAAAAATTAAAATAAATAAAGAACAATTTCTTATGCAAAGTATTTTCATGAGAAGGGTCCAGTTATTTTTCTTTTAGTATAATAGTTCAAAATATTTTTCATACTCACCTTTACACAGGAGTTTTCTTCCAGGGGGACATATCCAATTCATGTGGGAAGACTTAGCACTATGTCTATGAGAGGGTGAGCAGAGACAGAGATACCCAAAGTAATTATGCCTTGCCTTTGTTTACTGTGCAGTGCTTTAGCATACATTACCACGTCTCAGCCCCCTAACAATGATGCTGGATATATGGCACCGTCATTAATATCCCACCCTACTAATGAAGAAATTGAACCCCATAGAAAGGAAGTGACTTCTCCGAGGTTACCTAGCTAGTTGTGACAATGGGATAGAAACCTGGGTCTTTCAGCTTTTTGCAAGACAATGCACTGTGGACTATGTTGTGAAATTAAATGTGTTGCTTGGGTGAGTTTATAAACAAGAATAATAAGTAAAGGGAAGAAGTCAATGCAGAAACGACAGCACTAATTACTAACTCTGAAGAAACCAGACTGTGGAAGATCAAGGGAGGACCTGGAAGAACTGAGCTATGCGGCAGCTGGAAAAATTTGTGCGCTGTTTTGTTTGAGTGGGGGGAGGAGAAACTGTGTTCTTATAAGAGCATCTGATTATAAACTATGGGATGTGAGTACTTGAAATATCGGGGGGATCACTTTGTAAAATACATGATTGTCTAGCCACTATGCTGTCATCCTGAAACTAATACAAAATGGTATTGAATGTAAACCGTGATTGGAAAAGGAAATTTAAATAGAAAAAGAGAAAGGAATGCAATTTTCTACTATGTTTGAATTATTTAAGCTTCACCTCCTCACATTGGACCCCTACAAAATTCTATCAGGCAACCTCTCTCTGAGAATTTGATTTCTTCCCTGACAGTGGTTAGGCAGATGACAGGAAGATGGATTGGGCCCAGGTTTCCATGGACAAAAACCTTATAATAAATATTAGAGTGTCTAGTTCTCTCCCTGTGTATTTCCTTTCCCTGATACACTATTAGGGTTGAAAAGCAAAGGTGCTGATGAGAAAAAAAAGAATCGCTTAAAAATGACTCTCTGACCCTCTTGTAGCAACTTTATGCAATTTTTTTTAAGAAAATATAATTTCATTTATATAGCCTAAAAGATTTTGTATTTCTTCTTTTAATAGTCTTCGTCCAGTAGCAATAATACTCAGTTTTAGAAGTCAGCTTGTCATTTACTCAGCCAACAAATATATATTCAGGGTTCACTGTGCATCAGGCTCTGCTGATGAATAATGCATAAATAGTGAATGACTGGTTGATAAATAAGATATAGATCTTGTCAACAAGAAACCCACATTCTAGGAAGAGAAAGACAATTGGTAAACAAATTAGTAAAAACTATCATTCGGGGCTGAAAACCTGTGTTTGGTGGGGACGTTTATTCCTGTGCTGAGCCCAAGCACCTTCTGAGCTCCCTAAGGCTCCAGTGGAGCTGAATGAGAACCTCCCGAAGGCCACACAGCGTGTGTCTGGGGCTTGGCCTCGCCCACGACTCTAGCCAGGCACAGCGTCATCAAAGTGAGATGTAATATTCATGATTAAATGTATACAGCATAACCTGAGTTCAAAACAGTGACCACCTGTTGCTTTATTTTTATTCCAGGAATCTTGGAAAATCAGGACTCAGAGTTTCTTGCTTGGGTCTTGGTAAGTACTCGGCATATCATGTAGGGTGGGCCGGGAGGGGGAGGTTGGGGAGTGCACCAGGGAGTGACTGGGGCGCAGGTTTAAGGCGAAAAGGGACTTCTTGACCAGCATTGCCCATTTCTCCTTCTGATTCTTTCCTGCCAGCACAGCCCTCGCTCTCTCAGGCTCAAGGAGCCACGTGTCCACAATGCCTTACGGGGCCCATCAGACAGAAAGAAATCAGATGTGAAAGCACATCCTAGAGGGAGCCTCATGTGTTTCCTACATTTAGCAAATGTGAGGGACCTCGTGGCCAGCACTTGTGAGCTCAAACCTGTGGCCTCGTCGGAACTTTTTCTATCCTTATTTTCTCTTTGCCTAAATTCTTCACTTGTTTTTCTATATTTTATGTATTTTAGATTTTACATACTTGTATAATCTACCTTTAATACTTTGGGAACAAGGTGATACATATACATGAAAGTCGGGAGGAGGGTTTCTTGACTCCTGTTGAATGGAAGTGTGGAGCCCAGGGAAGGAATGACAATGAATGAACAATGATAGTGGCAGCTAATTCCGCCTCTTTTCACTGTATTTCAAAGATATTAAGGGTACTGAGGCCTAAGTTTTTCTGATTCTTCCTGATCTGATTTGGGAGGTAAGGATGGGCTTTGTTCACCATAAGTCTACAGGAATTTGACATTTACTTAATTTATAGCCCTAATCTTATTACCACTCCTGTTTGAAAGGAGATTCGCTATCAAGGACAGTCTAACCTTAGTTTTATGAGAATGTGCTTTACGATAAATAATTATTCACTCTGTTATTGACAGAAACTACCTAAAAATATAAACTACCTATAAATATAATAATTTAAGAAAATATAATTAAGAAATATGGTAAAAATCATTAACCAGTTATCTCATAGAGTCAGGGGCTACAGCAGAGCATAATTTAGTCGAAAGTACCTAAAAAATTCAACCAAAGGTCCTTGAGACTATAAAACATTTTAGGTGTCTATGATGTGCTGCATGTAAATGGGTCTCCAGAAGGCAGGCAGCAGCTTTTGAAAACCCCATGTGTCTGAGCTGTAGGGGAGAACTTTAAAACAGACGATTCAGGAGCAGGAGTCCCGATTTGAGCTTCAAGCTTCCTTGAGAGTCTGAACGCTTGTGATAAGACCCTGGCATGAAAAAAATAAGAGGAAACAAGGAAGTTTAAGGGTTGACTGGCTTCATTCAAAACAGGTCACAAAGCTTGACGGCTTGAATAAGCATTCTTTAAGAACCTTTCTGAGCTACCTCTGTAAGCCAGAGGAGACAATAAAATCAGAGAAAGGAATGATGCTCCTGCCTTAGATAATTTGTCAGGGTCTGCAGACCCCATCTGTCAAATCCAGAGGGGGCTGGGTTTTCAGTTGTGGGCTTGGGATGTCAGCAAAATCACAGCCCGTGTTCAACTGAGGCTTTGGAAATTAAGTATTAAGTGTTCCAAGCATTCACACCACTCTAAATGCCCTTTATTGAAATATTTGAAAAGCCATAATTAAAGCTAACAATTCTGACTTTCTTCTCTACCAGAGGACTGACTGGGAACTTCTTGCCCTGCCAAGGTTTCTTTTGATAAACTAAGAGCGTGTGTAAATGAAAGAAAGCAGGTGAAGCAACCTGAGGATGAGCCGAAAACAAACCAGAAGGAACAGATCTGCCAATGAGAGAAAGAGGGGGAAAAAATTGAGTGGCCAAACCCACCTGTGGGTTGCTGTGTCTGGCCTTGTTTATGAAAACACTGGCAACTGCTATTAAGACTCAAAGTCAAAGAAACTGATTTAAAAAAGAGTAAGTCTATCAAAGAGTGACTGTAAATCATCTCAGCCTAGTGGGAGGGGGATCATCTCAGAGAGGAAGAATAGAATGTATGTATTAGGCATGTACGTATGTATTCATTCATTCTGAGCAAACATTTAGGAAACCAGGCATTGTGCTGGTGACAGGGGCCACCAACATGAAAGCAGCAAGGACCCTGCTCTCAGACCACTCCCAGCGCAATAAGAATCAGACACACAGCAACAGGGTGTATTTGATGATGCGGCAATGGAGGGTCCCGGATGAACCAAGCACGAGGAAGGGCCCCTGGGGAATTTGGGATGGCTTCGCAGGGAAGGGACTGCACTGTTGAGGCTTGAAGGGAATCATCAAACAGAGAAGGAGGTGGAAAAGACAGCAAAGAATTGAAGATAGAGGGAGCAATAGGAGCGATGGCCCGGAGGGAGACTCCCCTGGAGCGGGAGGTACTTTGGGAAACGCTGGAGTGTGTGTAGAATATTGTGAACACAAGGTGATCAGGAACCTTAAGAAATGAGCCTGGAAGGAAAGCTAGGCCTGAGGGGGACCCCCGTTTGCCTCAATAAGACAGGCAGCTCTTGTCCTCCAGGTCTCTGGTGTTCCTCCAAGTCCTAAGGTCCCAAGGTCTGAGGGAACGATTGGACAATGAGGGACCGACAGGTCTCCACCTCTCTCCACCCTCCTCCTTCCATTGCCACAGCGCCCATCGAAGTAGCTCTGTTCCTACATGTAAATATGAATTTTTTAATGTAATAAGTAATAAATGACTATTTTTAGAGCAGTTTTCAGTTCATTGCAAAACTGAACAAAAAGTACAGAAAGTTCCCCTTCCCCCACTTTGGACGTCACAAACCAGAGTTGTGCCCTGTTTATAATTTTACATTAACACATCACTATCTCCCAAAGACTATAGTTTACATTAGGTATATGTATAACTCTTGGTATTTTACATTTTATGGGCTTGGGTAAATGTACTTGGCATATATCTACCATTATATCATACCAAGTATTTTCACTGCCCCAAAATCCTCTGTGCTCTGCCTGTTCATCTCCCCCTTCCCTGTAACCCCTGGCAACCACCGATCCTTTCACTGTCTCCATAGTTTTGCATTTTGCAAAATGCCATATAGTTGGAACCATACAGTATGTGGCTTTTTCAGGTTGGCTCCTTTTACTTAGTAATATCCAGTTAATTGTCCTCCATATCTTTTCATAGTTTAATAGCTCATTTTGTTTTAGTTCTTCACATCACATTTTGAAGGGGGGTGGGAAGCACCCTCGTGACAAAAAGTTTAAAACTTTGCTCTAGCATGTGAAAAACCATTCAAAAACTTGGATCAGGAGTAGGGCATGATCGAATGTATTAGAATTGCTTTCTGGCAGTGATACCAAGGCTGCATTAGAGAGGGAAGCACTGAAACCAGAGATAGGGAGATAAATTCGGGGTCAGGTGATGAGGCAGTGGTGTTAAGCATGCACCAGAAGGAGAGGGTTATTTAAGAGGAAGAATAATTGGGACTTGGTGGCCTGGGGTGCAGAATGAGAGGTCCCTGAGCAGAGAAGTGTGCCTGGGTTCCTGGACTGGGCATGTGGGTGAATGAGCTGAAAGCTCAGGAGGAAATGCAGGAGGGAGCAGTCAGAGGAGGGAGCATTTGGAGAAGCGGGAGCTTTGTTGGGAAGTGATCAGAGGGCCTCTGAGCTTTTGCTTCAGATACCCAGAGGGAGCTCAGGGCTGGAAATGGAGACTCGGGAACTTCTAGCAAAAGTGGACCCAGGGATGTCATTGAGATCACCTGCACGGATAGAGGATTGAGATATTTGCCCAGGTTTAGGACACCCACCTTGTGGAGTTTGCCAGACTTACGTTCTCTGAGAGGAGAGAACACGTCTCCACCCAGCAGGGGGGCAAGGGTTTTTTAAAGGCTGTACTGATGAGTCTGAGGCAGCGGCAGGTTTGGAACCCATTGCCCTCCCCAGAGGGAAGAGGATGGAGACACGTGTGAACTGGTGACTGGTGAGCCAGGTGCCAGCAGCTATGATGTCTACCCACTATGCAGCTGCTGCGGCCAGTCCTAACCAGTGGCTCTGGCCTGAGTCATTTTCACCTGACTATACAGCCTCCAAGAGGAAAATCTGCCCAGCTTAGGGCCAGCCTTGGCGTTCTCTGGAGCTGAAGTCCTAGGAAGGTAACTGCTGCAGGCAGATTATGCTTGATTCCCTTCCATTCAGCACCTGCCACCTGGGCCTATCTCGCCTTATTCCCCTCTCTAACCAAGGGAACCTTCTAGAGTAAAAGGAGTGAATCATAAGAAGTGTGCAACTCCTTTCTAATGTGTTGCATATATGCAGAAGGTACTCCTGGCTCATCTCCCTCTGCCTTGGAGATGCTCTCGCTGCATTAAATATTTTGATACTAGGAGAAGATGACTTTAAATATTTAACATGGATGCATTATTTTTGTGACACTCTTCGTGACTGTCATTCTTATTAGTGAAGCCAATGCAAACTAGCCACCTCACCTATTAGAACAATATAAGAACAGTATTTATAAAGTGCCTCTAAGACGCTTAAGAAACAATTTGATAAGTGTAATTTCTTTCCTCAGAGAGTTTACCGATTTTTCTGCATAACACAGTCTGAACTATCTTAAGACCAAAATACCCACAGAATTTAAATGGTGTATGAATATCAAACATGTAACAAGAGAATTTTAGGCTTGTTACTTTTCCTGGAAAGTCTACCTTGAGTAAATGTCATGGTGTATACACATTAAAAATGAAAAGGCATTTGTATTTTTACAAAATTGTTTTAAAATATTGCTTCTTCATTTTTCATACTTTCATGGGTAAAATCCTTCTTAAGAATTGCTGACAACTTGGCTGCCTCTAAATTACCAGTGACTGCTGCCCGCGTGCTTTTGTCTACCCTCTCAGAGGGTATCAGATACAGCAAGGGGAGAGCAGGAAGCCTGCGGCTCCATGGTCAGAGCTGGGGTTTGGGGAAGAACTTGAGAAGAGGAAGCATAGGAGCCTGCAGCCCCCTACAGCACGCGCGCGCACCCCCTTCATTGCCCTCAGGGTAGCAGTAAAGGGAGGAATAGCCCTCTAATGCTAACCTGGGGTTCCAAAGTGAAACAAATGCCTGCAGAACGTTTCACTGAGTATCAGGGGAGAGAAG